AAACACTCACTTGTTCAATGACAAGAGTTGCTGTGTCTTTGAAAAGCTGGTGAAGCTCTGTGACAGACTGCGCCACTTTGGCAATTTCCTGCAGCAAAAGTGGCGCACAGAAGCAGCAGCAGGGTCCCTCACAGCTGCAGCATGAAGAACAGACTCCGCGGAGGCGCCGTGAGACAAAAAGGAAAAGACGACTGACTCTAAGACAGTTTCTTTTGCGAAAAATCCACTCTTGTTGAAACCACTAGACCATCAAACACTCAGAGTTTTATTTGCTTTTTGAACTCCCGCAGGCAACAGTACACAAGTGCAGCAGCAGAAGACAGCAGCAGAAAGCAGCAGCAGAAAGCAGCAGCAGAAAGCAGCAGCAGAGAACAGCAGCAGAAAGCAGGAGAAAAAAGCAGCAGAAAGCAGCAGCACAGGGCAGCAGCAGAAAGCAGCAGCAACAGAAAGCAGCAGTAGAAGAAAGCAGCAGCAGCAGCAGAAAGCAGCAGCAGCAGCACGCACCTCCCTCCGGACGTCTACGTCGCACTCGAGGACTTCCAGCTCGGCCATCATGTCGTCGCTAAGTCCCTGCGGAGCCCAGCAGCAGACAGCAAGCACTTAGGCAACAGCAGCAGCAGCGAGGCAGCAGCAACAGCAGCAGCAGCGAAGCAGCAGCAGGCCCCGCTGCAGCCAGCGGCAGAAGGTGAAAGTTTCGAAAAAGCTGCTTCCGGGTGCATGCGCAGCAGCAGCAAGTTCCCGTGGGAAACTGCAAATGTGGAAAAAGAAAAAGCAAAATGAGGAAAAGCAGAAAAGAGAAAAATGAAAAAGCAAAAAAGCAAAAAGCTGCAAATGCTGCAGCAGAACTGACTCGCTGCATCGACAAAGATGCTGCTGTTGACTCCTGAGCATCAGGAAGCAAATCATCTCCCTGAGACCTTCGTCGAATTTCTGCACACAAAACCCTAAACCCTCACACAAACCCTCAACTCAAAACCCCTTTGCTGCGCCCAGCCCCGCAGCAACTCTACCAGCCTCCATCCAGCAGCCACTCTTTTCAGCTGCTCCATTCCCAGCTGCACTAGCTAGTGGGGGCCCCCTGGGGGCCCCCCAGGGGGCCCCCTGGGGGCCCCCTTGAGGGCCTCCCCTGGGGAACCCGGGGGAACCCTCTGGGGCCCCCTTGACGGCCCCACTGGGAGCCCCCTTGGGGGTACTGCGGGGACCCCGTGGGGGCCCCCATGGGGGCCCCCGTAGGAATCCCCGTGGGGGCCCCCGTAGAGGCCCCCGTGGGGGCCCCCGCAGGGGCCCCTGTGGGGGCCCCCGTAGGGGCCCCCTTGGGGGCTGTGGGCCTGTGGGGCTTGCCTTCCAAGTAAGCTTTTTGCTGCTGCCGGAAGGCCTGGCTGAGGCCCTGCAGCTGCGCTGCAACAGCTTTTTGTGCATTTTGCTGCATCAGAGAATCTGTTGCTGAGCCCTGGAAGGGGCCCCGGGGGCCCAGCTGCTGCAGCTTGGCTTCGCAGCGGTGAAAGAGCTGCAGCAGCAGCACAAAAACGCATTTGCTGAAGGCACTGCAGCAGCAGCCAGCAGCAGCAGCTGGGGGCCCCCTAGCAGCTGGCTGGGAAATGCTGAAGCAGCCAAACTGCAGCAAAGCTGCAGCCAAAGGCCCCACCCACAGGCACACAGGGCAAGCGGGGCGAGGCCCGCGCAGTGCAGCAGCAGCAGCAGCAGCAGCAGC